GGGGTGAGGGCTCTGGGGTGTCGTGGCGCTGCCGCCTGCGAGGGCAGAGAAGGTGACAATGAGATCCATTTTTGTTTGGTTTGCTTGGAAACAAAGCAGGACCTGCAGAGCTGGGAATTCAGTCAGGGCTGGGAAGAGCTCCGTGAGCATGTATTAACTTGGGTTGTGTCTCTGACCTGCAGCATTGAGCCACAGCCCTCCAACAGCAGATCCCAGAAACCCTCCAAGGCAGCCTTTCAAAGTCTGCACCCTCACCATCGCTCACATCGATGGGAGATCATCACCYCAATCACCCTGGCACCATCACACGCCCCCAGAGCTGCCAGTCCCTGCCCCAGGCAGGAATTATCCAGCACGGAAAACCCAGTGTCCATGAGTGCCCATGCACAGCAGAGCATTTGGGAAGTGCACAACCAGACAGCCAAAGGCAGAAAAGCAGAGTGAACCAAGAACAGATTCACTGGTTGGAGCCCCCATACCTCGTGGCAGACTTGGCAGGTCCCGAAATATCTGAACTCTGTGAGTCTTCATTCTGGTCTGAAGGAAAACAATCAGAATCACCATCGTTAGGACTCTGCACAGCTCAGGAGCCTGCCAGCATCCCAAGGATTATTATTTTCTTTTAGCTGGTACTACTTTTAGTTTGTTTAATTGTTTGGAAAAGCCAAACACTAAGGAGAGAGGCTGGAAGGAGCTGCTCTCACCTCCTAAAACCTTCCATTTGGAGTTTGTTCGGAATTCCTCCATGAGCTTCACTTCATCGGGGCGCTCATCAATGAACTCYGCCACCTGAAAACACCACAGCAAACAGCAGAGCTTTACAAAAAGGCACAATTCCTATCCAACCGCTCAATCTCAGCTCCTCTGCCTTGCTCCAGCTCTGTTTTGGAGCTCAGAACCTCTGTGCTGGCCGTGCCACGGGCTCCTGCAGCACACACAGATAAAGAACAGTCTGCTGTGATCTGCGGGGAGCTCACTGATCCCTTCAGAGCTCCCAGCAGGAATCCCACCCATCCCTGAGGCAGAACACACTGCCAGGGCAGGGAGAGGGCTTTACAAAGCGCTTCCCAGTGGGAGCCATGAGGGAACATGAACGGATTCAGCGTCTAAAGCGCATCTGAAGGGCCTCCCGCTCACCACAGGCATGTCCCCTTCGTCTTCCTCCTCCTCCTCCTTCTCCGGGGCGGCGGCGATGCTCTTCCAGCTCACATCGTCATCCACGATCCGCATCCTGGCAGCGGGGAAAGGTACCGCCGTCAGGACCCGCCGGGGAACGGGGGATCTACGGTGGGGAACCCGGGGAGGGGGCTCGGAGAGAGGGGATTTGGGGGAAATAACCACGGGAGGGATCCCCCGCACAACCACCGCCCGCTTCCCCCGGGACTCACCCGGCCCTGCCGCTGCCGCCCGGCGGTTTCTTCCTGCGGCGGCGGCGGGGCTGGGCGGGCTCGGAGGAGCCGCTCAGGTACCGCCTCAGGTACTCGGCCTTGGACACGGCCGGCGCCGCCATCGCTCTGACGGGAAACTGCGCCGCCGGAAGGGGCGGGGCCTGAGCGCGGCGCG